ACCATCTCATAAAAGATTAAAGTAACAAGTAAACGTAATTTAATTACTTAGAGTGGCGAAAAGACATCTACAAATTAATACAGATTATTTCCTCTTACCCAGATCTTCTGTGGAGTTTTTGTGGGGTGTAGCAAACATAAACAATAGCCTCGATCTCTTAAACCAATGTGATGTGGGAGAGTTGAGAATGTTATATCTCCAAAATACAGCTTATAGCAAATCAATTTGAGGTAATTTTGTCCAGCCAACTTCTCAGTGGATTTTCGTCATATTAATTTATTCAGAGTTAATTATATTTATTAACTTACAGTTGTTACTATTTGTTTGATTTTCAGTGAATTTTCCCTTGTATTGATCAATTCACCGATTTTTAGTTCAATGAAAACTACTCAGTTTGGTAAAATTCTGTAATTAGTAATTATTGAATTAATATATTACTGAATTAACTTGAATGTAATCAATTCTTCTGTGATTGCTATCAAGAAAGCCTCCATACAAACTGAACTTTTTACTCTAGTTTATAGACAAGGAAGAAGAGTATAAAGTAGTCTCATTCACCATACCGAAGCCAAAGTTGCGAAGTATCATCCAAATGCACGAAATTTTTAGGAAGAAAAGAGAGTTGAAACGAATATTCAGAACATATGGTGTGTTCTGTGAACTAGATGGGCTAATTTTGAGTCTCACTATCGCTAAGGACGAAATAGTTTGAACCTGTTTTATGTAGAAGTCTGCTTCTTAATTATTTTGCAAACGCTAATCAGAATGTTTTAATAACCTCGCTAAGTGGGTATTATAGTTCTTATTATGTCAATTTGGTTACCCCCTACAATACCATCAAAATGTATCTAGTAAGTCGACATACCATGGAAGAACTATCCTACCCTTGGAACAATAAAAATAAACTGGTATGTAAAATATCTCGTAAGCCGGTATGATGATTTTAAAATCTCTTAGAACCAAAGTTCCTCATAAAGCCAACACTACTCGATTCAATACAAAATGAAAGGTATAATAATGAAGACAAACAAACGCAACAACACCTATAAAATAGTTCACTTGTGTATTGGTTGTTTGAATCTTCTCATTGATCAGTCCCTTATCGGCATATGTGCATCCTATGCGGATCGCCTCAATATTGCGCCCTGGATTCCACTTTTAGCCACCATCCACCTACAAGACAGGTCCCACTACTTGTAATGAACAACGTATTAGAAACGTGTCCGCCTTACCAACGCTTACATGGGTTTCGAATAATAATAATAATAATAATAATAATAATAATAATAATAATAATAATAATAATAATAAAGTTATGCCACTATCTAATAAACCAACGTACATAGACGATATTGTGGAATGAGATTTTAAAAACATCAACGAACTTCTACAAGTGTGACACTCAAGTCATTTTTCGATCAATGTACATCGAAATAGATCTATTTTATTAACCCGTATGATAAGCGTGAAGGAATTATATGGTTAGAGGATAATCGAAGACAAAGTGGAAATACAATAACAAGTGAAGGTAACAACCTAAGACGACAATCACTTATACACAAGATCATTAGAACAGTGATGATCGCATCTGGAATAATAAGAAAGTTCGCTTCTAAATGAAGCAAGTATGGTGATATAACGGGATGGATTATAATACCATACTGGGAGCGGATCGACAATAGGAACATATGAAACAACTATGACTGCTACCCCCCTCCCACTAGAACTTTTTACCTTAATGAGTCTTATGAATAAAAACGTGACTTTCAAGATTAATAGGTAGGTAATGTAGTATTGTATCTACACCTAAAACGCTTAACATTTTAACCCAAACAAGTATTTCAATGGACCAACAATAACTGCCAAAATACGTTGGCTTCTGAAATACTTATTTGCCGTTTAAATTCCATCTAATATCGAACAAAGAAAAATAGAATGTACGCAAAACTCCGCAGGCTACAACGGTCAAGGTTAGTAGCATGGGCAGATAGAAATGCGCTTTCGTTTAATGTGTGAAGGGTTTTGATTGAACAGACATTTTTTCTGAACAAATGAAACTGTACATAAAGAAACACAAACAAACACGTAAATAGCTCACAACAAACAGAAAGAATTAAATGAATGAGGCTCGGGTAGATTTAAAGTGACTCACTACCAGAGTAATTCTGTAAATCTACCTTGAAACCAGAAATCGGGTCACCTGACCATATGGTTAGGGTTAAAGATTCACATGAAAATTCCACATGAATCTCAAGACCTCAAGAAAAAGAAAACAGAAAAAATGGTGAAAAGTTCCGACAAACACCTTCAGTAATCGCAAAGATATATTTGACAAAATTGGATGATATAATGAAAAAGAATGACCTCAACTCTTTGTAATAATGTTTTTAAGCATGGTAATATCTTCACAACATAATTTAACAAGAGCCAGTATGTTTTAAAAAGTTGACTGTTTATAAAAAAACACAAAGAGCAGTAGTCACTGGTTACTTATTGTAAAAGTCAATCGTTTGTTCTTAAAAGGAAATCGTGAGCAGCGGAGCATACGAATAATTACAATCACTTTGATAGACTTGGATATATTACCAAATTCAAAGCCCTAAAAAACAGTTCAAGTGAAGTGATATTATATATCTACCACTTTTTACAGTCCTAAACTAGTAGTGAGGCTTGCCCAGAATCACCACACTTTTCATCTTTCTGGGAAAAAGTTGGAGTACGTAACGGCGATGAAGATCTACTAATACATCTCGTTTTATAATGACAAAGGTGTCATCTACGTATCTTAACCAAACTTAAACAACGTTGTCCTCTAGAACCCTCAGACATTGGATCTTTGCTTACATTCAACTGTTTTCAGTTTTCGAGGAGAACTGTACAGACAAACAGGTGTATCTATGGGATCACCGGTTTCTCTAATTTTTGCTAACTTATTCATGCATGAATAATGACAGGGTTCTAGAGGACAACGTTGTTTAAGTTCAGTGTCCGAATCTAGGAGGTTAAATACAATATCTAAAGCTTAATAACAGTAACATTGGTGAACAATGAGCATTAACTAGAAACAAGTGCTATCTCAATGTGTTCCATTCCACCGAAAATTTGGTTAAGATGACACCTTTGTCATTATAAAACGAGATGTATTAGACGAACTATTTCAACGTGTCAACAGCATCGATGACAAAATCGAGTTCACTAAAGAGTTGGAATCTCCTGAACACAAATTACCTTTTCTAGACTACTTGGTTGAAAGGAAGTATAATGATTTTTTAAAAATTAGTATTTTCCGGAAGCCGACATATTCAGGGAAATTTCTAGATTTTAAGTCTGCGCATCCACACTCTACCAAAGTGACAGTAGCCAAAAATTTGATCACCAGAGTAAAAAAACTTGTCACTGAACCAAATGATGTAAAAATGGAAATGAATTTAATTGTATCCATGCTAATGATGAATAATTATCCGAAGGGTTTTATTAAAAAAATAATTAAGAATGAATAACAAAATGATATTATTAAAAAAAAGGGTCAAGCATAAAGAATGGATTAACACAATTGTAATCCCATACCGTAAAGGTATTTCAGAAGAGATCAGAAGGATTCTAACTCTTCAAAATATAAGAGTATTCTTTCGAACAAACAATACTCTAAAATCAAAACTAGTAAGAATCAAAGATCCAATACACAAGAATGAACAACAGAATTGTGTTTATGAAATCAAATGTAATGACTATAATGCAACGTATGTAGGTGAAACATCAAGGCAACTGAATGTAAGGGTGAAGGGACACAAACCGTGCTTAAAGCACATTCCTAAATCCTCAGATGATGTAAAAAAGCTTGAGAACAAATCAGCGATAGCATTACCCTCGATTGAATCGGGTCATACAGTTGATTTCAATGGCGCAAGAATCCTTCAAAAAGGATTTAATTCTTACAAAGAACGACTAACAGCTGAAGCCCTACATATATGGGCTAATTCAAACAGTATTAATAGGAGAGATGGAATACAACTAGCTGTCCCGTGGCAACTAATAATTAATAAGTAAACCTGAACTCCTTATTCCATTTGATCAGTCTTTATCATATTAACTAATCAACAGTTTCAAATCAGTTATCTTATCTGAATATGTTAAACAATTGACTGGAACATTAAAATAACACTAACTTTCAATTACAAATACATTCCTCTTTAAATTCGGTCTTTTATCTTGTTTATTTATCTTCATTTAATGCATGCTGTGACATTTTGATTCATTTCATATATAAAATGATATATTTTCTGAATATACACAAACCGAAGACAATATATAGTTGAATGAAATTTCTTCTCACATCACTTACGTATACACACAGTTTGTTATCTTAACACTTTTCGTTTCACACCACATATCTCTTACACACTAATGTAAATACATACTTTAACATTGTTAACGTTGATTGGATAACTTATTCAGTATACAGTAAACCAGAGAACTATGTATTCGATAATTTTGTTGTTTAATTATATTTTCCTTGAAAAAGCTTGGACCAGATTGCCAGGAGAAACGTTGGATTTACTTAGAATTCATTCGCTGAGATTCTACAAATATATATTCGTCCTCTTTAATGACTCAGATTAACTCGGCACCCAAATATTGTGAAACTATTCGTTCAAATTTAGACGAGAGTTCTTATTTAGTGAACATATATATTGTGACAATTGGAAATGCTACAATTATATAGACTAAAGAAGGTTACTTGAGTTCTAGACTCACCTAATAAAGGAGTTAGGCAATCACACTAATGAGTTATGATATTACAACCATTTGTGTGACAAAGTAAACTGGGTAAAAATACACTGAATGACAATCATAGACCTAAAACAATTTTGTGTGTAATTAATAGTGATTCTAAACAGTCTGTGAGATTTACATTATGTCTGGTTCTAAAAGCTTGCACTTTTTTATCCTGACATCAATCTATTTAATATCATGAAGTCATATAGATTTCAATTACCCACCTGATTTATTAATTAGTGGACGCCTGTTAGCAGATCCGTAACTGACTTGAGTATGTGAATCCAGGGGAGTTGCGACAAAAGTGGCATCATTTCCATAGTTTCTATTCAGCTGAGGTCCTCTATAAAAGAAGTAAAATCTTTTATTAGTTTAGCTATCTTGAGTAATAAATATAGCCATCATTTGATACAAACAACTTACAAACTAAAATGTAACTTTACTTAAGTTAAATATTGACTCATGTGACCCGTCTAATAAGTATGGGCACCCAGTTTCAACCACCACACCATTTGAGGATAACTGATACCACGTGGCTGTTCAAACTAACGTATACAATAAGGGGCTTTCACCTAGGACTTACTGGTAGAACACCAATTATCTGAACCAATATACCCAAATGCATTGGTACAGCCGAGGGAGAGGAGAGTTCGCTCTCCCTCTCGAAATGCTCTCATATGGCTACGCGTATAAAGCCACTGTCATGGAAGTCTTACTCACTGCCTTCTCGTGGCGGGGGTGTTGTTTACATAATCGAGAGGACGAAAAGCAAATGTCTGGTGCTTTAACCGAGTTAGTGGAAACAGAGGGTTCACCTAGGGCAGTTGGAAAACCCTGAATCCGAACCAATGGTGCACAAAGGCTCCAGGATCCTGAAGGAACAAACGGCGTATGAACCAATTATTGGTCACCGGCTACCATGGAACTGCATCTCCTGACGTTGCTCCATTGCCATGTGGATCAGACCTTTAGGTTGAAGGCTCCGAGTGTGGTCGCCTAAGAAAACTACTTGCTTCGATCTGGGAACCTGGGTAGTATCACAGCCCTCACAAATACCAATAATAACTGCTACTGGCGTCATTGTTATTGTGTGGCACGTGTGCATTTGGTGGCCCCTAGTAACAATGTTTATGTTCAAATAAATATAAATAAATACCTGAACCACTAACTTATCGCGCGTCCCAAATTACTTTAATTATTATAATTATTCATTTATTTGCATATAAATATTGGTACAAGAGGGCACCAAATATATATGTGCCACACAAAACAATCAGAATTCGAACAGTAAAAAAGAAGGTAAGGAGCGTAAAAAAAGAATAATAACGAACAGATTAGTGTAAGGTAGTGTTATAATAATATTATAATAACAATAGTAATAATGAGGGAAACGGAAAGGTACAATCAGAAGAAATCTTTCAGTTAAGAAAGACACCACTTTTTATGAAGAAAGTAAAAGAAGGTTACAGCAGGATCGCCACTGGCTTCTATTCTGAGCCATATATGGTAACGTCTCTAGCCACTGTGTTGCACCATCTCTCGGACCCCAACCAGGAAATCGTGAAAGACCGACAGAAGCCAGTCCTTTGAAACTTTCTTTCATACCACGACACCACGTCATACACTGACCACCTCTCCGCTTCTTCTAACCAGTCCCAGCGTTGGCAAATAATGCACGACGTGGAATTCTCTGGGAAGACATTTGGAGAACATGTCCAAACCACCGAAGTCGGTGTTTCAAGATGGTGACATCAATTGCATTATCATCTCTGTGCCCGAACACACGATGCCGAACATCTGCATTACTAACATGGTGTTGCAACTGGATGTCAGCAATCCTTCGGAGACAGCGATGATCGAACACAGAGAGTCGTCTAACATCCTCAACTCGGAGAGGTCAGGTTTCACAAGCATAGAGCAAAACTGCTCTCACCGACGCCTTGTAGATCCGACCTTTTACAGCCAGACTAACATTACGAAGGCGCCAAAGGTGGCCCAGATTGGCATAAGCCGCTCTGGCTTTCACGATACGTGCATTGATCTCATCACTCACACCCCCACCAGCACTTACGCAGCTACCCAGATACACGAACTTCTCGACTACGTCTATCTGCTCACCATCCAGGGTGAGTACAGGATTAGGATCCTGACAGTCTTGTAGAAGTACTTTGCACTTCGAAGGTGCAAAGCACATACCATACCTACGGACACTGATTGCCAACTGATTAAGTGCGGATTACATGGCTTGGGCATTATCGCACAGTAAGAAAATATCATCCGCATACTCAAGGTCAAGAAGTCTTTCTCCAGGCAACAGATCTACACCGCCACTACTTATATCCATCACAGCTGTTTCCAGAATGTCATCGATGGCAAAGTTGAAGAGGAATGGTGAGATTGGGCAACCCTGTCTAACCCCACTGCTCGAATAGAACAATGGAGAGAGGTGGTTGTATGCCCTCACTCTGCCTGAGGTGTTTGTGTATAGGGCTTTTAGGATGTTAATAAACTTCTTAGGCACACCCTTCTTCAGTAGACAATCCCAGAGAACAGTCCTATCCAACGAATCGAAGGCAGCCCTGATGTCAAGAAACACTACGATTGTTGGCCTTTGATAACTATGACGGTGTTCTAACATTTGGTGGAGGGTGAAGATATGATCAATGCATCCTCGAACAGAACGAAACCCAGCCTGCTCCTCGCGAGTCAATCTTTTTCGGGTTTTGAACAGTCTACGAAGTATGACGGGAGCCAATAGCTTGGACGCAATCGGAAGTAAAAGTTGCAACCAGCTTGCTAACATCAATCCGTTGGTGACGGTCGCTTCGTTGGCCACTGAAAAGTAAGGTAAGATTAGCGAAGACCATGGCATGATCAGAGTCCAGATAGGTACTCCAAAAAAAGCGGCAGTCTTGCACACAACCATGCCAGCGGTAGCTGATCGCGATGTGATCAATCTGAGTCCAGGCTTGGGATGCAGAGGGAGGACGCCAGGTGGCACATCGGCGATGACTGTGCCGAAAGTTAATGCTAGTCAGAAACAGGTTGTGGTCTGTGCATAGTTGCAGTAGACGGTCCCCGTTATCTGACCTGCGACTAACGAGTCCCCATCGGCCACCTAAACGACTCTCTTCTGTGCCTAGACGCCCGACCTGAACATTCAAGTCTCCGGCTATTACTACAATATCGCACAATAACGCACTTTCTGGAGAACAGACAACTGGTGGTAAAACTCATCCTTGATTGCATCCGAGCTGCAATCTGTCGGGGCATAGGCGGAGATGACGAAAAGACATCGTTTCTCACGCCGATTTCTTCTCACTTTGATGGAACTTTCTAATCTAACAGCAGATAACCGACTGTTAATGGGGATCCAATCGATTAGTGGTGCCTCAGCTCTAGCGCTTAGTGCGACACCAACGCTAGCAAGACCAAACGAAGATGCCACAGGGTCCCCGGATAAGCGCACGCAAAACAAGCTTTTTGAAGTGACAGATGGAGAGCGGATTTGTAGTACTTCACCAGAGTCTTGAATACGGGTCTCGGATGGACAGCAGACATCGATATCAAGACTTTCCAAAGACATAGTCAGCCCTATCTGTTGTCCAACCTGCATAAGTGTGCGAACGTTGAAGGCAGCCAGTTTGAATGGTGCACATGGTTTCAGAAACACTGCTTCAGTACTCATATTCAGTGGTAACGTACAATTTTCAACTGAACAGTGACTCGAGAACGTTTAGATGCAGTCGAATTTCCACCAAAGACGAGCAGCTGTATAGGTATAAAAGAGGGTGAATAATGTGGAAAATAATAATAATAATAATAATAATAATAATAATAATAATAATAGTAATAATAATCATTTGATTGTTATTCGAAGCGAGAAAAGTAGTTTCCATGGATATAGAGAGTTCATCATTTGCGTGTGGACTGTGATACTGCCCGGGTGCCCAGACCGAAGCAGGTGGTTATCTTAGGGGGTCACACCCCGAGCCTTTGACCTAAAGGTCTAACCCACAAGGCAGTGGAGCATCGTAAGGAGATGCAATCCCATGGTAGCTGGTTACCAACGATTGGTTCATACGCCATTTGTTCCCGCAGGATACTGGAGCCCATGTGCACCATTGGTTTGGGATCCGGTTAAAGCGCCGGAAATTCGCTTAAAACCACAATTAACAACATAACTACAAGTGTTCTAGCTCAATGATGTTTTTGCATAAGTGAATTAGTAGAAACAATCACATATTTGTGACGTTTCATGTCAATTCAGTATAGAGGCTACGATTCACCTACAAAAACCTACCAGTAAATACAATGTTGAAAGCAAGTAACTTGTAACGAAATAATAAATCATTCTAAAAGAAGAGACATCTCACTTGTGGGCTGAAGTAACTGCCTGACGATGCATTTTGTGACCACTAGTTTCTCTTAACCCTGAGCCTGAAGCAGAATATGCCACTTTGTTACCGGTAGGTCTTGGTCTGTCTGAACACGCATAATCATTAGCGAAAGTAATTCGTAAGTCTTGATTTTGTTTGCAGGCTACTACTCGAATAGTATCTGCTATATTAGAATCCAGATTTGATCTAAAACTGCGACGTTCATTGTGCATGACAAGGTTTACGAAAACGTTACTAGAGCTAGATGAATTTGTCAACTGGTCAAAAGTAATGAACAGAATCCAGGAAAACTTTCAGACGAAAGCAGCAGGAATCTGTAGAAAAAAACATTTTCAAAAGTAAGAACACTAATAAGAACTATGAATGAACTACGAGCGTCAAAATAACAAGCGACCTGAAGTAATTAGAAAGTCGCCCCACCCCAAACAGAAAACATGAAAGCGATAGTTATCGCAATGAACGGTGGTAAACAGAATCTCTTTAGTAAGGGCCAGTCGAAATCAAGCGGGGACCAGGTTTTACCTAAAAGGATTGAGTATGGGTATTGATAATCCAGGTTTGACTGAACATGTTTGAGACAATGTATATCCAGCTTTCAAGGTTAAGTCACAATTCCTACAGATTATAAGCTCTTCGAGAACCAAACACTAGTTGTTGGAGTAGGATTGAACAGCAGATTCCAGTAAAAACAAGCAAATCCATCTGTCAGTATGTACACAGAGTACTTGACACCACCTAGTCTATTGTACAAAATACTAATGTATACAAACACAACTAGCAAGCGAACAATCAGAAAAGCTGAGAAAAGGATAGGCTACTATCTCAACCACAGGTGAGAACTCCGAGTCGTATGCCGAAGTTAGCTAGTACTCTGGCCGAGTAACTGCGGGCCGGAAGTTGTTAGACTTGTCAGAAGCGATGTTCACACGTTGGCAGTGTTCAGAAAGAGGATAGGCATAGAAGTCGTACTCCCATACCTTGTTTATTTAACATATGATAAATTATAACAAGCATTCTGTGGCTACAGCAATGTTAACTGTAAATAAAACTTGTGCTCAATTCCCTAAATGTTGTCCGGCTTTAGATTATTTAAAACGGTTCAAAAGATACAACAGCACGCACAATTCCCGAATTTATTTTCGTAAAAAACTCCAGAACTTTTCGACAGAACGAGGACCGTTGAGCCTATCATCTGCCACGTTATTTAGTGGTTTAATCTCTATATGCACACCCACAGATCATAACATTTGAACCCATATTTATTAAATGGTTCAAATGGTTCACCTATGATATCCTTGCAATTTCTACTGTGCCAGAGTGAAAATTTTTCACAAGAGCCATGCTATTCACTATACTAGATGGAATTCTAAATACCTAATAACTATCCGACCCTGCTTACCCAAAATACTACATATGCCGAAATCACGCCAAGAACTTCCGGTTCGAACCGATCAACATTTGTTCAAGGTCCCACTTTGACCCTAAAAAACAAACATAGCCTTCCTTCGTTGCATAGAAGAGGAATTAACAGACAAGCTCTAGGCAAATATAATTTTATGGACACAAGTAGATGTTCGCAGGTGATATTAAGTTAAGCTTTGCATTTAAATTGTACAGAGACCTTAAACAGCAAAAGTCTTCACACTTTAGTAGTGGGATAGGGGTCAAACGACCAATGTTAATCCTTGAAATTCGTCGTACAACCAAGAGTCAGTCTCGCTTTGGATGTGTCAGTAGAATTTGTTGATATTACGTGTTCTGGCAGTGGCATTTTTTCTTGATGAGTTAATTTTATCGTTTTGAAAGTAAATTACGCATCAAAACTACTTTTTTTCCCTTCAACCGGCTTTATTTAATTTAAAGTATTCTCCAGAAGGGTCTTTTTTCCAAAGTAGTTTGTCATCGTTAACTTTAAGTGCATTGGTTCTTTGTATTTGTTTGTACTTCGGTTCTAACATTTGGCAGTTTTCCACTTTTTGTGTTTGTCAGTTTCTCTTGCCTATGGGCTTCTTTAGAAAACCTCTGATTGATTGCTGGACAGTGCAAAAACGTAGTTGCCATCTCCGAGGCTGCTGATACCCTGTGGAAAGTGTCATGCAGTGAGGTGAGTGCAGAGGATGGTACCATGAAGTTCACACGAACCTAACGCCTGTTGCTTCTAAACGGTTTAGTAAACATATTTGTGTGTGGTTGTGTCAGCAGTGCCGCTCGGACGCAAAGAGCTTGTTGCCCAAAGCCATTGCAATGATGAACGCTGCTAAGGGGGAATGACTGACTTAAAAGAGGTCTGTCCGAAATAAAGCTCAAGAAAGGAAGTTTATCCTGTCCCCCGCCCTCCAAATGGCAGTCAGCAGGGAACGTCTAAAAAACCTAATCGTAATACTAGGTCTGTTTCTGGCAGGATAAACAAATATCTGACTACTCAAGTCATCGACAAGCATCCAGGATCTCGCAGTGTGTAACGTGACTGTGATTGCTACTCCAACGATAGACGATGAATGGGTAAAGATCGAGAATACGAAATGACATAAGGTTACCAATGAAAAGACAGTCCACCCAAAAGCAGCTAAAAAATGGAAGACTGATCATAGAGACAAGGAGAGTGAAAGCACAGAGCCTAAAGCTGGTTTTGAGCATGACAGTGAGTTGACAAAATAGCCACTAAACCAGTTAATGCCTCAAGATACCTCTGGAGTCACCATGCTAAAGTTTTATAAACTAGGTAGCCAAGCAGACTTGAAACAGAATCAACACAGGCTGCTAAAGATATTATTTAAATCCCCCGATAAAAGGGACGGAATGCTACAGAATAGACATGAACTAAATGGTTCAGAAGTTTTTGTCCGTAAATAGTTGCCATTTGCAAACCGTATAAAACGACGAGCAGCTGAAAAAGAACTACAACTTAGGTCAGATGCTTGCAAAAAGGACCTCAAAATGCAGATTTTCGGGTGGTGAGGCTTCAATAGATAGCGATGCCGAAGCCACTCTGGGCGCAGCACGAAGTCATTTAAATAGACTTCGGATCTGTTATAAAAATGTCGGAATCTAGCTTAACAACCGATTGGAGCTAGGTGTATAGATAAACTCTATCAATACGGTTGCAATCAAAGTCACAGAAACTTAGTTGAAGCAGTCTATAGACAGTATGGGACTTGATTTTCAAGGGTTTATGATTAAAGGGCCGATATAGTCCAGAAACGCAAAGGAGGAGTAGCTTTATTTGTCAGAAATACTATCCCGTTAACCGTTATTGATAACGTTACCTATGAGAGTGAGACGTGACAGTCTCAATCCTTAGTCAAAAAGTGGTCGATGTTTAATCCTAGAAAACTTTAATACACATAGGGTAGACTGAAAAAGTCTGAGGGCCGTCAGAAAATCCCTTCGAACAGGAACTAATCGATGCGGTTATCATACGTGCCCTAGTGCAACATGTTATAGAAGCAACTAGATACGCTCAAGACCCCGAATCATCCTGTAGCGGTAAATAAACCCCCAAACACTGAATACCTGTGCCATCTTCATTGGTGAGCCTAACGTGATCTGGTACACCAAATCGTAAACTGTGAATCTGTTCCATTTTGGGATTCTATATATCATTGCTTTTTTTTAATTTTTTATACATTGTGATATTTTTCCCGCGTTTTTGGACATCTATATCTTTTTCACTCGTGTATTCTCGTACTCAATTTTCCCCTATGACTGAACAGACCCCCAGGGTATTTAAGATTAAGACTATGTCTCCACCCTCGTTCCAACTCATGCCCTTCTGGCCCGACAATATCGGACCGATAATCCATATGCATCTCCGTTGCACATGGTCCCTAAAAATGACAGCAACGATTGGCATCCAACTGGTGACTATCGGCGATTGAATGCGAAAACCATTCCCGATCGTTACCCGTTGCCCCACATTCACGATTTGACAGCTACCTTGAAAGGTACAACTGTCTTTTCGAAAATCGACTTGGTTAAAGCGTATAACCAAATCCCCATGACCACAGACGACATACCGAAAACCGCCATCATTACTCTCTTCGGACTCTATGAATTTTCGCGATTGCCTTTCGGTCTAAGAAACGCTGCCCAAACATTCCAAAGGTTCATAGACGACGTTTTTCGAGGTCTCAACTTCGTACATGCGTGTGTTGACGACTGCCTAATCGCAAGTCCGGAAAGAGAATCACATCTCAAGCATCTGGATGGTCTTTTCGACCGACTACAAAAACATGGCATTACTGTAAACGTTCAGAAATGCAAAATCGGGACCGACTCGTTAGACTTCCTAGGACACACTATAGATGCTCAAGGCATTCGACCCCTTAGGACCAAAGTGACGGCAATTCTGGATTACCCAGAACCGACCACGATCAAGCAACTACGAACGTTTAACGGCCTTGCAAGTTTCTATAGACGATTCGTACCTAAATGCGCTTTACTCATGAAACCTCTAACTGACCAACTTCATGGAAATGCAAAATCCATTCATTTGGACGACACCGCACGAAAAGCATTCCCCACAATTAAGGAACTTATCGCAAAGCAACAATGCTTTCACATCAGGACACTCAAGCACCCATTAGCACCGCAGTAGACGCATCCCAATCGACAATCGATGAAGTCTTAAAATCTTTAACATTGTTCTCCAGACGATTGCTAGACACCGACATTCGGTAGAGAACTCCTAACTATGTATTGTGCTGCACGGCATTTTCAACATTATATCGAAGGCCGTGAATTCACCCTTTTCACTGACTATAAACCTCTTACTTTCTCGTTAAGCTCCTCTTCAGACAAAAACTCACCTCGTGAGTCTCGACAACTGAAATACATTTCGCAGTTTACTTCAGATATTCAACACATCTCTGGAGCCAAAAATGTAGTTGCAGACGCCTTATCTCACATAACTTCCTTGAACAGTTTCCAAGGAATCGACCTTCTTAAACTCGCCGAGCTTCAAAAAGAAGACAGTGATCTTCAGCACGAGTTATCGTCTACAACCCTCAAACTACGCATCAAACAGATGGTAACAGGTAAGGAAACCTTACTGTGTGACACATCTACGGGTAGGGATCGCCCAATAGTGCCGAAACATTATCGACGCAATGTCTTCAACACATTGCACAAACTTTCTCATCCAGGTGTTTGTGCAACAATTAAGCTTATAGCAGAACTGTTTTTCTGGCGTGGCATGAATAAAGACGTGGGGGAGTGGGCACGCTCCTGTGTAAGCTGCCAAAAATCTAAGGTTATCAGACACAATAAATGTCCCTTAGGCTCATTTAAGACTCCCGATGCTTGTTTCGACCATGTTCATTTGGATTTGGTATGACCTTTACCAGATTCAAATGGATACTCTTACCTCTTAACCTGCGTAGACCGTTTCACTCGATGGCCAGAAGCAGTACCTATCAAGGACATCACTGCTGAAACAGCGGCCCGCACCTTCGTCGAACGATGGGTAGCAAACTTCGGCTGCTCTCAAACCATCACTACAGATCGCGGACGGCAGTCTGAATCTGATCTTTTCCGTCGTCTGACCACACTTTTAGGAATCACTCGTTTCCGAACGACCGCCTACCATCCACAAGCAAACGGGTTGGTAGAACGTTTTCACCGACAACTGAAAGCTTCGCTATCAGCTGCAAATGTTTCACAGTGGACTGACGCTCTTCCACTCGTCTTACTAGGTATCCGCAATGCAGTGAAATCTGACATTGGATACACTGCGGTTCAACTCGTTTATGGAACGACACTTTGACTTCTAGGAGAATTCGTGGATCCTTCATTCTCTTCAATGAGCATGGATCTAACCTCCTACACGAACAGGCTTACTAACGCAATGCGTTCAGTTAAACCTGCTTCCACTCGACCTCAATCAACTGATGTTTTCGTTCAACCTGACTTACGATATAGTACACAGGTTTTCGTTCGTCGATAGTCGCATCGACGACCATTCGAATCAGCATACGAGGGACCTTTCAAAGTTCTTCAACTTGAATCTAAGTACTATATAGTCGATAAAAACGGAACAAACGATAGCATCAGCACCGATCGCCTCAAAGCAGCGTATTTAGGAGGAACTCATATTCACGTCGATTTCCCTTCGGTACAATCGCACAACACGACTCCTACGCTTATAATACCCTAACCGACAGGCAACACGCACGATGATACTTCAACAGTATCAGGAAATAAACTTAAGACGACGCGTTCTGGAAGAAGAGTAAGGTTTCCAGAACATTTAAACGATTATTGCACGTAAAGCACTATTTGACATTTTATATTATCTCGATTTTTCTTTTTACCATATGTAATATTTTTAAAAAAACAATTTTAATATGCTTACATATTTTTATTTTTATTTAAAAAAAACATTATGAAAATCTTTTTTTAACGATGTTACGTGTATATGAGTTTATTTTCCACATTTTTCGCCGGCATTGTGTTTTTACGTACATACGAGTGTACTTCGAC